TATTGCTGAGAGCAGGGTATTGATGTAGACTTGGCCCTTGTGGTTTATACTGTTTTATTTAAGGCCAGCGATTAATTAGGTTATTGCATCCATAGCTGGAGTTGCATGTGTAATCAAGATTTATGTTGCTGTGGCAACAAAGAGAGACACAACTGAGCTGAATTTCCTATATCTTTGAAGCAGGGGTCCTTATCCAAAATGATATTAAGAATTCCCATCAGTGTGTGAAGAGTGTAACTAAGAGGGGCTCTCGTTAATAGGCTGAAGTCTTGTATATCTGACTCTCTCACTGAGTTGAGTGAATTCCTGCTGCTCATCAAAGGGTTAGAGAAAATAGGCAGTTGCAAGAAAGAGGATAAAGAAAGCCTGTGGCTCAAATTAATCAAGAGCAATTGATTTCAAGACAAATAGGAGCAATGCAAGATTTGATGGCTACTCTGAAAATCACAGGGTGCTTCCAAGAAGCCATTGACAAAACCTTTCCAACATATTCCAGGTATTGCGTTTGGCCTGGAAGTAGAGGCAAGGAGGAACTGAACATGAGCCAGGTCAAGACTTCACAGTATTAAACATCAGATTAAAATAGTGGTGTTGACATAGCACATGCTGAGGTAGATGGAAGAAGATGGAAAAGATGAAAAGAAGATGGAAGATAAAAATCATAGGTGACTGAGAGGGGATAATTTGAGGTAAATGAGGAGGACTGTAAGGGATTCAGAACTGCAGAGGTGGACTGTGGTAGAGGCAGAGATTTTGGACTGAACTCTACCTCCTGTGCTTCAGTGTCAGGCATCTGGGAGCCAACAAATAATTTGTCCTCTTGAAGATAAAGTATTTAACACAGTTAGTGAAAATTGTAAATGAGACACTTTCAAAACCAACAAAAAAAAGTCTGAATACACTCTCCCTCCCCCCCAAAAAAACAGAAAACCAAACCTGATTTTTTAAAAATGTTGGAAATGGGGGTTATTAATTTTGATTTTCTTCTTTTCAAGGTCACTTGCTTAAATGTATTTGGTGGTGATAGAAAATCCAAGCAACATGACTTTTATTAAAGCAATATCCTTGAAAAGTTAGTTATCTTAAAGGTTGCAAAATGTTAATAGAAAAGGAAGAAATTAGATTACCTCAGAGTCAGAGAACTTTCAGAGAGATATGTAGCTATGAAAATATATATTATGTTTGTACAGTTTCTTTTACCTCCTGGGAACCTGTAATAGTTCAGTTTATATATATATATATATTTTTTAATTTTTTTTAACAAAGAGGGAAAAAGGCAGTGTAGGAAAGAGTGAATGGACTATAGCCTATTTACTTTCAAACAGTTTATTCATGTACCACAGTTATATGTGATGGACTGGTGATCCATTTCCCCTCAAATTCAGCAGAAATGACACTGCAATTTTCATCCAGTTTCCTCATTTAATAGATCAGCTGCAACAAGGACCTGTTGTAGTCTCTTGAACGAATCATGATAACCAGGAAGCACTGAAAGGGAAGAGAATGCTGCTCTTCAATTTTTTTCCAAACTCCTTGTTTGCAGGAGTCTGGCATTTGTTGAGCTGCATTCATGTTTTGGGGACTTGGCAAGACTTGCTGCAGTGACTGAACAGCTGGGTGCCAATTTACTGCGCACTCCATACTCTGTTCCAAGTCTCTGTGTGAGCTCTTCGACAGGAGCATAAGGGCAAGAGAAGAATTGAGCATGGGGAAAGTGTGCCCATAACTATCACCTTCTGCTCCTCCTTGCTGGTCTTACCAAACAACTTTCTGGGTAGCTTAAATGAGAACTGGAGCAGATGCTGAAACAGTGGGATTTCTGGGTACCTTGGATTTTCATTACCTACTTTGCAAAACTGGCTTTCTAATTATCCTAGAAGTTACAATCCAGAAGTTGGATGAAATGAACATTTTCTACAATTCATGTGCAACAGAGGCACTGTCTGGTTTTTTCAAGGCAAAGAAGTTGTAATGGTTGGTTTTGTTTAGAAAAAGAAATAGAGGCATTGAGACTGGCTTGTTAAGTTACACGGGTCTAAGTTTCTGGGTTTTTTTGGTGACAGGAGACTTGTGTGAAAGTGGTACAGCTGCAGGTCTGGGCAGACTACACAGATTTCTTGCCTTCCGTAAACCTTGAAATGAAGAGGTTAATTGCTAGGATATTTCCCTGCCATGCTGTAAAGTAAAACCCAATAGTGTTATAGATCTTGACTGGAAAGTCAAACTGGCAAGTCTAATTTCCATATGTGTCTTTATTAACTGGAAAATATAAACCATCAGCAGGAATGGAAAATGTTACAAAATGGTGCATGAAATTATTTGTATTTTAGTATATTACTGTTATTCTAAGATTATAAACAAATTATTTTCTTGGTAATATTTATTAAATATATCTAAAAATAATAACCTCTTATGTAGTGTTGTATTAGGTGGAAGTCTCCAGCATGCTCCTTGTAGCAGAAGATCCAGTGCCAGTCCCAGTGAATGAGAAAGTTAAAGGAAAAACTTAATGGTCTTGTGATTCAATAGGAAACTAAGCCAGACTTCAACCTGCACAGGAATTCAATGAAGACATTTTAGGAAAAGTATAACATAACATTATATCAGTGGGAAAATTCTTGCCATCTTCTAAGTCAAGTCCAAGTTGATTTTTGTGTTTATCTAAAATATTCAAATTAACCTTCAGTTCAGACAGCATTTGGAATTCAGTATGAATGGTTGAAAACATTGTCCTTTTTTTGTTTTTTTTTAAGAACTGAAAAGATTGAAAAAAGAGCTTCAAGCAGAAAGATAAAAGAAAGCACTCAGATGTACTGAACCACATAGTAACTAAACATGAAATGTAAACTAGAGCAAGGAGCGTATCAGACAACAAAAGAAAAGAAATGATTGTTAGTCTTTGGAATTACTACTTATATAAAGAGGATTCCTAGGCAGTTGAACAACAAAATAGAGTATGTTTTGAAGCAGAGAAGACAGATAGCTGGAGACATGAAACACTCAATTTGTTTTATTTAAGGGTCAAATAAGAGAAAAGAGTGGGCTTTTGACTGTAAGGAATGCTTATTTGAAATCATTGCAACTAACCCATTCTATTTGACAACATGACTTGAAATGGCATTCTGGAAAAAGTTCTGATTGAGTAACTTCTGACACATGTAATATAATTTGAAGTCTGTGTTGCAATCCTGTCTACTTCTGGTGTTCAGTCTGTTAGTCTTACACTCTTCAGTGACACTGAAAATGTGCCTATTAGGAATGTACTATACTGTTTCTGAATTTAATTTTTATGTATATTCACTTAGTAAAAGGTGAGTTAGTGCATTATAAAAGAAAATTGTGGATTGTGGAGAAAAAAGAAAGTAAGGATTGTGAAAATATTCAACAAAAATGTTCTGAAGAGCGATATTTATAGATACTAGAGTCAGAACAGACTGTGACAGTTGTTAACAATTTGGCCCAACCCCTTACATAGCAGAGTATATAAAACCAGTGAAACGGATTGTCTTATGTACTATTCTGTTAGCATTCACACACTTAATTTGAAGTATGTTAATTGTTTTTTCAGTCACTGAGATTAACTCCCATTTTTAAAATTTAAAAGATAGTGTTTGTAGGACATGTTTTGGAGGACTCACATTATTTATTATATTTTTGAATAATTAATTTTTTCTCACATAGCTCATCTTTTCTCATATATTCTCATCTATTTTATCATAATAATATATTTCAATAGTTAAAGAGGCGGAAAGAAGCCTTTTTATTATGATTCCAAAATCTATATTATTTGAAAATCAAGTAAAGGACATTAAAGTCTTTGCTTTTGACATTTTCAAATGAAGTCAAAGGAGTCAGTTTTATAATTTCATCTTGATTATATTGCTTAGTTTCTTGTAATAAATTTGCAAACAGGCTTTCATCTCTGTTGAGTAGTTGGACAATTGAATAAGTCCTGTTTTAGTAATGGGAAGGAATATTTCCCAAATAAACAGGCAATTTGAATTAGTTTAAAGAATGTCTTAGCACTTTGAAATGTAATCCCATCAGCCTCCATCAGATGTTAAAGCCTGACCTGGTTGGTACTTGAATGAGGGGATATATTAAGGAAGATGTAAGATTCTGTATGAAAGGATTCAGTATCTGTATCCACTTGTTTTATGTGAGCTTAGAAGTAATATTAAATGTTTAAGAGGGTACTACTTTTCAAATGAATCACTAAAATAAAGTACTTTGCTAAGGAATTAAGATAGTGGAGTGGGAGTAGGGAAATCCTTGTTTTGTTGCTGGAAACTTTTAGCCAATTAATCACTTCTGTGTATGGCCAGTCTTTGTGAATGAAGATTTTGGGAAAGGTCTTTTACCTTTCAAGCCTGAGCAATGGGTTTGTTTTTGTTTTTTTTTTAGGTGAGACACAGCATGCGCTGAACTGAGCCCACCCTTTAATCCTAAGGTTCATCTGCCGGGGCCAAGCGAGCTTGGACAATGGCAGTGAGGTCCTCAGGACGTAGGTTTTTGTTTAGAGAATCACTTCTAGAGGGTTGATAAACCACAGATAATTCATGTGTGATTTGGGGGCTTTGGTTTCAGGGACTAGGCTATATTTCAGGTAACACACTAATAGTTTGCCAACCTACTCACATTAGCAACAAATGAAAAGTTGGTTTGTAGCATCCTGTTCTTAATTGATTGGACTGATGATCATAAAGGTCTTTCCTACCAAAATGATTCTGTGATTCTGGAATCATTCTGTACTTCTGCTGAATACAGGCTCCCTTTTGCACCAAATAAGCTTTTGGTGAACTTGGGAATGTGCACATGATTGAAAAGGCACGTGCAGTTATACCATGCTCAGGCAAGATGATACATTCACATTTTTTCTTGACTTCCATGAAATAAAATCAGATCCTTACAAGATCCTGAATTATGCATGCCTATAAAACGTAAAATGTATGCTGCAACAGTTTGCGTTTTGTTGTGCATAATCTTCATTATGTTTTCAGGATGGAACATGAGGCTACCCAGCTAGAAAAGCAGCATGTGCACAGTGTATATGAAAATACGGCTGCCTACTTTAGTGATCTGCAGAGCAAAGCATGGCCTCGTGTTCGGAACTTCCTGCTGGAACAAAAGCCTGGCAGTCTTGTTGTTGATATTGGTAAGCCATTCTTTCAGATGGCATGAAAGATTGTTTATAAGCTTTATTTGTTTATATGTTAATCATATGTACCTTCAGATCAACTGCTTTTAAAATTTGTTTAGATTTGGTTTTAAATTGTTTTTAAACCCCTACTAGATGCCATATACCACTTGTTTTAATTTTTTGGCAGTGCATCAGGTAGACAGTTAATATTTTTTGCCCTTATTTTTGTTGAGCTAAGCCTTAATCTATCAGTTTCCCCATAGGCTTAATGATCTGTCATTCCCCTGGAGCCCATTAAAAAAATTATTTTAATAGCTAATTATTTAATATTTCAGTTTCTTTAGATCTCTTGGTTTATGTACTACTGGTCTGCAATTTATTGCTTTTCATTTGGTCTAAAGCTCCTCCTATCAAGGCTTTATATTAAGAGAAATCTTCTGATGTGATTTCTACTAAAAATATTAAAAAAAAGTTATGATGTCAGAATCTCCCTATGATCCTAAATACAGACACCAAAACCTTGTTTTCCTTCTATGGTGCTGTCTTCCCTACATGTTTGATTTATACCTTGATTTTCTGTTTCTCCTAGGGACTTTTTAGGGGTTTCCAGGTGCTGGGGTGTTTCCTTTCCATGCATTATGACTTTGGTCCTATACAGCACGTCATTGCAAAACAGATGCTCTTTTGCTCCGTTGTATTTTCCTCACTGTTTAAACTAATAAAATGCTTTTACACAGCAAGGTTTAACAAATGTACACAATAAAATATGTATCTGTCTTATTTGAATGAGCTTTAGGCCATAATCAATAGGTAATATGTAGTTCTCCTGCTACTGTAGCTATAATCTCAGGAAATATCCTTGTGGCATACACTCATTCAGCAGTCAGCTAAACTGATATTTCTCAGCCAAAATTGTTGTCATCTCAATAGAAGTCATTTGAAGTTTAGCTGAAGTTCTTTGAGGCTTTGTCAGCAGGTATCACAGTGATTGCTGAAAGCATAAGGTCACCCTGTTAACAGTCTCATCTGGAGAGAAGGTAGATGTTTATAGTTGCCAATAAGAATATTCCCATTAAGGCACACAAGGTATCTCCTTTTATGAGGTTTATTAACATCTACAGGAATCTGACTATTGTGTTTATTTTTAGTACGTATTTAGGGAAAAGTGGCACTAAAGAGGCACTAGTTCCTAGTGGCACTAAAATTTTTAAAATGAGATCTTAAATTGATAATTTCCTTTTCAGTTTAATACCAACTTTTATTAAAATATCATTTATTCTAATTGCCTTATTATTTTTCATTCAGCAAAATAAATGACAATAGCTTGGCCATTGTTAGCTTCATGAAGGAATTCACCCTCCTGGTGATTCATTCAAAAGTGAATCTCTGGCAAATGCAGATTTTTAGAATACTGGGATTATTAAGACTATTTAGCTTCATTCCAGGGAGGACCCTCCACTTCTGAAAACTCCCTGTGATTAAAAAGCACTTTACCAAAAGCCATGTATTAAGCAACTGAATCTTCTAAATTAATGTATGGTTGAATAAATATGTTCCTGTGCAAACATGATAATGAATAATACTTTATACAAATTTTTAAAACTAACTTAGTTTTCTAACTAACATACCAAGCTTCAAGTTTTATTGCATATATTTCTTGAACTTTATTAGCAATATTCATGTTTTCCATTTATCTCAAATGTTACTTCAAAAAATAGCACTTGCTTTTAGCTTAGAAATATGCTCTTTTTCACCACTAAAGTGTTGTTCTGTTCTACAACAGTTCCTGTGCTGTCTCTCTAGATAATGGTGCACATTAACATCACTGAGAGCAGCAGTGCTGCAAGAACCAGTGATGTTTCTAAAGATAACTCCAGGCCTTTAAATTGAATTTCGAATACTGAAATGATTCTCTTTGCCAGGCTGCTACCCTGTTGCTTGGCTGTCAACTTTCAGAAATTATTCTTCACTACTGATCTAGAACTGCAGTGAATGATTCCTAATATAATTTTGAAAAGTGCCTGTTATGCATACGGCACTGAGGAACACTCTGCAAGATTTCAATTTAGTACAGCACAGTCCTTGAGAAGGGAGACTTTTAGGTGGAAGACATTCTAGAACAGTTCATTACATTTGCATGGGTTATAATGCATTGGCACAAAGACAGAAGAAGGATGTGCCTGCAACATGGCAGGAATTTTTATGATTTATGGTTATTTTTCAAGTCTACATCTGAAGTTAAAATTTTCCTTTCTGACTTGTGTCAGTGGCATCTGTGGTTTAGGACTTCTTGGAGAGAAGTGAGATGCACTGGAGAGGTACTTTGTGAGGTTTAGCAAAGAGTAGGGAAGGACTTGGAAAAGAGATCTATTACAGGTCACTAAGAAAACAAAACACACTGGCTTCAGGAAATCCCCTGAACAGAAAGTAACTGGAAGCTGGAAGGGTATTGAGGAAAAGGGCCATAATGCTTACCTTTTTCTTACCCTCTCCTAGACACCCATTTATGCTCATTGTTGGAAGCAGGATATGAGGCTATATAAAGGCTCAGTGTGAAGCAGCATGGTTGTTTTTTTTCTCTAAGATGTGCAATAGTGACCACAGAGGCCACAGAGGACTACTGCCTCCTCCTCCCACCTGAACTTATCCTTAATTCCCCACAGAAATACAAATAGCCTGCTGTTATACAGGGCTGTGTAATGAGTATTTTTGTTGATGATGTTGGTACTGTTACAATCCTAATGGTGTGAACATATAATTTCAAACAGTCCAAATGAACTCTGCAGCAGTTAGGCTAGTAGGCACAAGCCCTCATTTTGTTTTCCAGGAAACTTTAGGATTAGGAAAGCCCTCACATTATTTTCCCTGCTTTGGGAGGGATAGCAAATGTTTGGAATATAGGACTTCTGATCTAGTATTCTTTTCTTTAGGTTGTGGAACTGGAAAGTATCTCAGTGTCAACAGTCAAGTGTATAATCTCGGCTGTGATTACTGTGAAGCATTGGTAGAGATTGCAAGGAAGAAAGATGATGAAGTTCTGGTGTGTGACAACCTTAACCTTCCCTTTAGGGACCAGTGCTTCAATGCAGTCATTTCCATTGGAGGTAAGACAACATAACATGCATTCCGGCCCACAGCAAATGAGAAATTCTGAGGGTTCTTTTCTTTCCATGTGGCTTAATTTCAGTTAATTGTTTTGAAACAGTTCTTTTAGAATCACACAAATACAATGAAATGAATTTAGTAAACATGAAAAAAAAATTCCATTGCATAGAGGCGCTGTTGGCCAAGGAAGTATGTGGATCATTTGTTTGTTTATACGTGGTCTTGTTCACCCTGTGGAGAAAAGATTTCCTTCCAGCATGCATTTTAAACAAGTGAAAACTAATATAAACATGGCTGCTTTTAGTTTAAACAGATTAGGTGGTCAAGATAAACTCTTGGTTCCTCCATAAGTTCTGTTTTAATCAGCAAATGCATTGAAATAAAAGCTTTCTCGATAGCAGAACTTGAAACTCATGTTAACTATTATGTGTTATGAATTCTGATTTCTCTTATTCATTAAATAAGAACTTAGAGCCATACAAGCACTCTTGTCTTAAATAAGCGAAGCATCTCAGCATCTTAACTCCTCTGACCTCTCTTTTTGAAAATATTACTCATAATTTGACAAATATAAATTGCAAAGTGTAGAGGAAAAATAGAGTACCCAATTACAGTCTACATTTTTAGCTCTACTCTTGTTTGAACTTCTTTTAGGGTTTTTCAATGTATCAGCAAAAATATAAAGTATGATAATTATTATTGATAGCAATCAACAAACTATTTGAAATGTGATAGAAATGTATTTTAAAATATATTTTTCACATATGCAGGTGGAAAGGAACAGTGACTAATATGCAAGCAGTAGTGATATTACTTTGCTTTCATGTTGGCTAGTTAACCAGTGAGCCCTACCTACATTTTAGGTCTTGTAGCATATTTTCAGGGCTATCAGATCAGCTGACTTTGAAGGATACCATACCTGTCAAGTGTTTATATCAATTATAAGCCTGACAAGTTTAAAAGTTCACATACTATTTCAGTGCATTTAACAATAATGGATTTTAACCCCTCTTGAACAGAGACATGGTATGCCTGTGTCCATTGAATTCTAAATAAAATGGTTTTCATCCCATTAGAGAGAAAAACAAGTATTTATGTATGTAGTCAAGTACACTTGTTGGCTTTGCTGGTATAATAATGTTTATAGGGTTTCTTTTTCTGCACAATCATCAAAGTGATTCTATAATTTTTACCAGGAAGAATATTTAAACCATTAAATTAATTGCTCAGATAGATCTTGCACAGATTCTGTTGGTTGATTGACACTTCTTTCTGGTGAACTAAGCTTGTGTGCTTATGCTGTCTCTGTCAGTTTTGATAAAATTTTGCAGGAGGATCTGTAGTGAAATATGGCCTAACTTCAGTATGCAAACAATTGAATTTTTTAAACTTTTTTTTTCAAAATTCGAGAAAAAAATGACCAAAGTGAGGAGTACCTGAAAACAAACACTGACCACATACACTGACCACGGGCAACCCTTCTCAGAGCTGGCTATTTTGTGTTCTCGGCAGCTTGTGAGAGCCTAGTTAATATCAATTGCCAAGAATGCTTTTCTTGGCTTGTGGTAATAAAGCTATATTTTTTCCCTCTTGATAATTTAATCAGTTTTGAATAAAGATGGGGCTACTTGGACTCACTGTTCATAACTGCAATGTTGAAATAACACTATTTCTACTAGTAGAATTGGGTACTGTCAAGTGGCACATAAAAAGATAATCTAAATTTTCTGAATGTATGGAGATGTCTTCAGCTAAGAACATATACTATTATTATATGTGGTTACACGGGTATCTTGAATGTTTTACATGTAGAAGTGGCTGGCTCCAACTCTACTTGAAACAAATTATGGAATCAGTCCTCTTTACATCACTGATTGAATCAAATCTAGTACTGATGACATATAGAACAGCATGACCAATGTGTCCAAGCACAGTACAAATTAATGCTTCTGAGAGTTTAGAGAGAAAATAGTTGTCTTTAGAGAGAAAATAGCTGTCTTAGCTATTCTCTGACTGTTAAAAATGGTTCCTTCCTATTCCAGGTGAATAGGAAGATAGAAATAATGTAGAAATCTTGAAATATAGCTTCATTTCACATTAGAGTGCAATTTGAAAATGTGGAAATTATCCTGGAAAGAAAATCCAAATAAAGTGATCAATAGTTTTATTTTGAATTTGACTTTTTATTTTTAATAGCATAACATGTAAAAAAATCATCATGCTCAGACATGCAATGTAGACATTCTTTTTTACAAAAATGAAATTTAATTTTACAAAATTAAAACAATTGAAATATTTGTCTAAATTTTCTCACTAGCTCTTTGAAAGTGTGCTGATATAAAAGTACAAAGTATCTTTTTACTGATATTACATTTTGCTGTATTTATTACATGGCGAAAAGATTTTCTATTTTCAAGGAAAGAAAGGTAAGTAAGGTAAGTCTGAAAAGTGTGCCAGAAACTGAAGTCAAACTTGATACTACCTAAATCACCTAAAGGCCAGTCATTTAAGTGAAAACTAGTAGTGTTATGACCTTTTATAGATGCAGAGAAACACAGACCTCCAGCTTATGTGCCTGAGTTTTCTTGAATGGCTATTTTGGGATGAGATTAATTTCCTTCTTTGGAATTTTCCTATTTTTATTCATTGAACATAATTGTAAAAGAGAGCATTCTGGGGTAAACTTGTGTTGTGCTACCAATAAATTCAACGCTGTTGCTGACTTGCAGCAAGTGATATTTGGATTGAGGAGCTAAAATGATTAAACATGTAGAACAGGTTGAAGACAAAAATGCCCTGTCCTTACTGATATTCAATAAATTTCTTTTTTTCACAGTGATACATCATTTCTCAACTAAACAAAGAAGAATCAAAGCAATAAAGGAAATGGCAAGGGTATTGATACCTGGAGGCCAGATAATGATTTATGTTTGGGCTATGGAACAAAAGAATCGTCACTTTGAGAAACAAGATGTATTTGTTCCATGGAACAAGGCCTTGTGCTCACGCCATTTTTCAGAATCAAATCAATCTGGAGATAAGGGTGAGTTTGTGCATACTGCAAGAGGCCAAGACATACACCCTGCACAGCTCATCATCTCTGAGTGCAGCTACCAAACCAATTTGCAGCCAGAAACTGATTCAAAACATTCCCACAATATGGGCCATTGCTTACCCAGAGCCTGCTGCATGAAAATTTCTGAAGAAGAAAACAGGTTTTACAGTGCTCTAGGAAGATCTTTCCGCTCATGGTTTTTCTCCAGATCCCTTGATGAATCAGCCCTGAGAAAGCAAAGTGATAAAATGAAGCACCTGAAACAGGAAGGAGTATGGGCAAACAGTACTGACCTGAAACATGAAGGGGTATGGGCAAACAGCACTGTACCCATTCAGCATTTGCGACACTGCAGTTTGGATTTAGGTCACCACAGGGCACTGTTAAAAGAACAAAGTTTAGATGATGATGATGTGTTTGTGGAAAGCCTGTCTCTCAAAAAACCGCAGTGGTCACCAGCCACAGATGCACTGAAGGATTTAAGTTTAAATGGAGGACACCAAAATGTAGCTCAGAGCAAGGATGACAAAGCCTCATTTAAAAATGGTCCAGTGGAAGACAGGGACTGCAGCTGTGGTTGTAATAAAGATGGTGCTGGTAAGTCTGATGCCAACAAGTTTTTCAAAAGAACTTCAACAACTGACTCCACTGACTCAGCTTTGGATTCAGCAGTGTCTGTTGGGGACCAAACTGATGCCATGTTGGATACAAAGGCCTTCATGCGTTATTACCACGTTTTTCGGGAAGGGGAGCTGTGTGCTCTGGTAGAAGAGAACGTGCCTGAGCTTCAGATACTTTCTTCCTGCTATGACCATGGAAACTGGTGCATTATTGCAGAAAGAAGAGGAACATAGCTGTAAAGAGATAAAGCAGAATCCAGTGACTGAGGATTTTAAGCTGCTCCTTGTTTTACTGTGATTGTGCAGTGTGACATGGAATTTGAATCTTGTAGTTGTGTGCCATTTATTTGTGATTTGTTATTTCTCTGACTATTTAACTAGTTAACGCAAGGTCTATATATAGGAATATAAGTGGTAAAAAATATTTATGTTTTGTTAAACTTTTATGAAATTAAAACTGGAGAGTTTTATATTGCTTTTAGCAAATAATTGTGTTTTAAAATATACTTTTCTATTGAGAAATAAAACCTTTTTGTAAGACAAGGGTCAGGGCATCTTTTATGAGAAATATCCTGTCAGTAGAAAGTTTTGTCTTTGTTCTTCAAATCTGAAAGTGTGTCAAATTCCTCCCTGTTCTTCAAGTCCTGTAAATGAGACATACACACTATGTCTAAAATTGTACTTGACTATATACTGGTAGAGTGCATTCTGCAGAACTGGGAGCAAGCATGGTCCCAGTGCTACTTAGTTGGAAGTAGAGTTGTTAATAGGCAAAAACTATGCTCTGCATATCTGTCATTTGAGGTTTGTATTTCAGAGCAAATGACAGAACAGATTTTGAACAGTATTTTTGACTTTTATTTTTAAAATTATTTAATTTGTTTCTCAGGTTAAGTTTTATGTGTTAGCTCTCACAAATACTTAATTTCCCTTGCTGTAGTTTTTCATTAGTTATGTGTATATAGAAGTCAGAGGGATTTGTGAGAGTATCAGTACTATGTAAAAGTTATAAAATATCAAATACTTGAGATACATATATCTTTTTGATAAGCTTGGGAAGCTAAGATAAAAGTAATAAAAATCCAGTGTGTATCTGGTCAGCTGTCATATTACTTTTCTTATTCACTGACATGAGAATATATATTAAATTGTGTGTTAAATAATGTAAATTAGAAGAGGATAAACCCAGTTTGTACGTAAAATACAAATTCCTGTCTTTGCAGTTTAAATGAATCTTTTGAGACCTAAATGATAACAGATTGCTTACACTACTTTCCCATCCCTGTAATATAAATTTTACTGAGCATGGTGCTCAGTTATCAATCTGTACTATGTGCATAAATTATCGATCTGTACTAGGTTGCAGCAGTTACCCTCATATTGTTCTTTACACTCAAATAATTTCATCCTTCTCAGTGGGATGTGAAGTTATATGTGCTGTGGATAAAAAACACCTGGCTTCAGAAGATCAGTAGTGAAATTGCCAAAAGAAGCAGGCTAGAGTGGGCTAACTGCCTTGTTAGCACAGAGTTACTCCATTTTTAGGCTTTATTTGTAGTCAGTGGTTGCAATGAAGGGCACATCTTCAGCTGATGTGATTTCATGACCTATAATGGAGTTGCACAGATTCACAACCCCCCAAAAAAACCGAACAACCAAACAACCCAAAACCAAACCCCTTTTGTTACAGCAAAACAGACCTACATAATTAAGATGTCTACCCTATTATTTAGCAAATAGGTTTGAATACAAGGCAACAGAAGCGAAATGCCAAACTTTTCCAATCTGTGCTGCATAAGTAGATGGATTTGGGATTGTTTAGTAGGAAACCCTGATGGTGCTAAGTATTTTTTGATGCAGCTGCCCAGCAGTAAATTGCCACATGGTAATGTATTATAAATTTGTTTACTGGAGCAATGTCCATAGAGCAATCATTTTTGTCTCCTCATACTTTATTCTTTCTGGATCTGCACCACTTGCAGTCCCCATGGGCCTTTGAAAATAAATGTATGGCCAAAAAAGCATACATCTGAGACTTCTAAAATATTATTCCACTCTAAATATTACTTTCAATACAGCCTGGGGCTATTGCTCTCAGATGGTGTGTATAAGCTATACTTCAGAAAACTGGCAATATTCTCTGCATCACTGAGTCCAGCTGCTCCTGTCGGAGGGGGTGGCACCTGATGCATTCTCAGGCTCCAGTTTTAGAAGCTCTGTGCCAAAGTACCCGTGCTGGCATATTGCAGAGCCCGTGTGGACTGTGTTTAACTCCACACCTCATTTGACACGTGCTTGTGTCAGACAAGTGAGGGCTGCCTCTTTTGTTGGGAATTTCTCGGGGAGTTTGAGGATTTTAGAAGAGAAGTCTATTGCTTCCAGATAAGATATAGCAGTGGATATTCAGTGCTCCTGAAATTTGGGCTGTATTTAAGAAAGAGGAAGATTATTATCATCCTGTATCCAATTCTGAAACTTCATTCCTAAACTCCAGCATGCAGAAACTCTATCTCACATATATAAAAATATTTATTAAATATTATTAATCTAAACTGACAGCTGGGTTTAGTTAATTATGAGAAAGAACACCATGATTCTATTATCTGCTCTTCTGCAATCTGACTGTGGCATATTTGGTATGTAGTCAAGCAGGCTGATGAAATTTGGAGAAACTGAGAAAGGAAAGGTGTCCATTCTCTTTACAATATTGACTTGCTATCCTTGTAAGAGACTGAATCAGGATCAGTGTCAGGATCCAGTGAAAACTTGTTGCTCTCTTAGCTGTTTGAATAACAGCTGTCACCTCAAAGCTACTGAGGTACTTTAAAACGCTTTTGTGGTTATAAACTTTCCATGCATTGTTTGGTTTGAGGTTCTTGCTTCGGGATGCTTTTTACAATGACTTATTTCTGTATTGGATTTTCTCTTGTTCTGAGCTAATGCCATTATGTTGCATTTTATACAAGTTTGGATTGTATTCTTATAAATTCCTGGGAGAGGAAGAGGGGAGGTTTGGTAAACTGCCTTTTTTTTTTCTCCCAAACATTCAGTTTTCCTCTGAGGATGTATGATCACCATGTAACATAATTTTTATAGACTGGAGATCAGTCAGCAGAGGTCATGAGTGTGAGGTCTGCACAACAAACCTTTATTCCTGTATGCAGTCTCCCATCTATTTGTGGTGGCTGCCTAGATCTGTAACAGCTCTATCATCTCATTAGAAAACAGATCACTTCACTAAAAGCATGGTGAAGGTCTCTGTTGACTGGTTTGTCTTTTGATGAGGCCCACCTTAGGCAAATGTACTTTCCAGAAGAATCCACATGATCCCAGACTTTAATACATAGTTAATGTGCTCAGAGAAGCGTGCATACCATTGAGAAGTCTATAGTAAATTAATGAATAAGTAAATAAAACCCAGTTGTCCTCAAATGCTAAAACTTTCAGCAATGTCCAGACTGAAAGACCTGACTGTTATAAGGCAAAGGGCAAATATGTTCTTACATTGCTTGTCTGACAAGTGGGCAATAATTTCATCTCAGTTCTGCTGATAACAAACCTGCTTCTGACTTTAGTGGGCTAGGATTGCTACTAAGCTGCTTATCTAGCTCTAAGTGGAACATGGAAAAATTTTGATTACATGAGAAAAGATGCCTTTTTTTTTTTTACAAATTAATTCAGGTGGAACTTCCTGGGCTTCAGTATCTGCCCATTGCCTCTTGTCCTATTGCTTGGAACCACAATTGCAATAAAAAAATACACAATTGAACAGACTTATTTTTGCAGAACTAATACAATTGCAAACTTTGGTAAATTACATTTTGTCTTTTTTATTACGTGAAAATATTTCTATTAGAAGTGAACAAGTGTAAATTTTTTAGTACTACCAGTGACTACTTTATGTTTTTCCAAACTTATCATGTAGGAATTTTAAAATCACAGGTGAGAAATAAAAGCTATAAACATTCTAGCAGATTTTTTTTCTGGTACTTACTTGTATACAAGTTACAGTTTCAAATGCTGAGTGAAGAGTTGTGTGTGTTTCACTGGCAGAATATTGTTAGTGAACTGCCTGGGTAGGTTCTGAATAGAAATAATCTCTCTGCTCCTGTGTCCTCTCTGCCACATCATATCTCCATCAGACTGCATTCATATCACTGTTGGGCTGTATTAGTATTGGCATTGTGTTGAATGTATTGGTCTACCCACTTTCTTGCTCAGCACTTCTACAGGATTTGGGACTACTTTAGTACTGCAGGAAAATGAAGTGTGTCAGTGTTAAATATATACAACTGCACTTCTTTGTGAGTTCGGCATTTCTTACTCTTACGGTATATGAATTCTGGCAGCTACCCGTTATTTTATCTCCCAGTTTGCTAGTCCAAACCATGCTTAGGTACTGCTCTGTAATCAGTTCCATGTCCTTACATGGAACCTGTTCTTTAGTATTCAACAGAAAATAAATTCTACTTGCTTAAAATATCATTTCCTACCAAATTTCTGTGTCTTCAGATTAGCTAATAAATATATTAGCCACCAGGAAATCTGTATCTTGGAAAGTTCTTAGTGAATGCAAAATTTGAGAAGACTCTGTTAGTGCTGTTTGCTCAGTAAGTTAGACAAAGTGGACACAATGCAAAACAGGTAAGGATAATGATGTGCTGTGAAGCCAGGCAGTCTGGCTTTACAGAACCATAGTTAACCTAACCATAAATGTGATCATTTCAATTAGGTAAATAAAGGTGGTGAAATGTGGTTTTTAACTATGTCAATACTGTATGTCCTGCTGACGATAGAAAATCAGGATGGTCATCAGAATTAATTGCTACAGAGCTCCATTTCCTGTTCCTTCTGATCCATTTACAGTCATCCAGGACTAAGCTTTATAGTGTAAGATAACACTGAAATATTTCTGTGGGATTGCCAATGTTCTTTTTGCACCAGTTTTAATCAGAAAAGAAAAAGTCATTAGAATTATTCAATTGCCTGGTCAGGTTACAGCTATATTGTTTTACAGTTGCAGTGATTGTTATGTTTGTATAATTGCAATGTCACTTATTGTACTGATATGTTTATTAATAATAATAATGGCCAGTCTTCGCGAGCGAAGATTTGGGGAAAGGTCTTTTACCTTTCCAGCCTGCGCAATGGATTTTTTAGGTGAGACACAGCCTGCGCTGAACTGAGCCCACCCTTTAATCCTAAGGTTCATCTGCCGGGGCCAAGCAAGCTTGGACAATGGCAGTGAGGTCCTCAGGACGTAGGTTTGTTTAGAGTGACCTTCTCATAGATGGATGGCCTCACAGGGCTAACGAGCTACCATCTGCCCGGGGGACTTGAGATTCGAACCCGTGGTCTCAGCAGTGAGAGTCCTGCATGCTAACCACTAGGCCACCAGGGGTCCCTGATATGTTTATTATAGTAACGACTAAGGACCTGATAGTAATTAAGCACTATTCAGATGAATATTAATACATGACCAGTAGTACAGAATACGCAACCTGATAGTATTTAGGTTATGGGAAAATAGTATGAGCACAGGGTGGACAATAGGGTGGTAACAAATATAATTTCAGGGGGATATGGAATGGTCTTTATGAGGATAGAATAAATTAAATCTGGTAATGTTGAGAAAGGCTAGGGAAAAAGAACAAAGAGAGGTAGTATACAGAGAAATGAAGGGAAATGGCAAAGATGGGAGCAATCACAACAGAGGAAGCACAATCAGCACTGCAGGATATTCTTAGCATATGCAGAGGTTCCTGTTTTGACTGCTTTAACTTTCTGGAGGGTCTAGTTGGTATCTCCCTGCTCTCTTACTCAAAGAGCATGTGCAGAAGGAGGAATACACCTTTTCCCCACCACTTGGAGCTCAGTACTGTTTCCCGTACACTTCCAAGGATAGCCATATACAGAGGAAGATTGGTTAGCAATAACAATTTTTCCTTCTTTTGTATCCCCATCACTTCATTGCAGCATGTTCTGTTTTGGTTCCTTTCATTCTTGCTGAGTGTTTCAGTTCACTCTGGTTTTTTTGATCGAGCTTGACTGTGCCTAAAATCTTTTGCCTAATTATCTCCTCTGCCAATATAGTTGCATTAGTACAAGCTTTGTATGTAGAAAGGGCTGTATGGACAGATTAAATAAGTAAAAAGGCACAAAAAGGTGCATATTTTCAGCAGTTAGTGGATCCCAGTGGCTTGCTGTTACTATATAATTTTGTTATTACTATCCAGAGTAACAAAAGGATTGCTCTGACTCCCCCTTAAAGCATTAAGTATGTGCATGCCCTTGTACGAGACATGTACCTGCATCTTTGATAGTTAGATAAATTTCAAA